GTCTCATCACCGTTGGTGATAAGACCCACCACTGTAGTGTCGTCCGCAAACTTCACAATGATGTTGGAGCTGTTAGTGGCTGTGCAGTCGTAGGTGTCGAGTGAGTACAGAAAAGGGCTCAGTACACACCCCTGTGGAATCGGAATTGAATTGAATTTTGAATCGGAATTGAATCGATTCTGTGACGATACCCAGCCCTATTCCACAGGTTTATTTGGCAAACTGATTTTTATTTTACTCTCACATATGTATATACTTCTGTGACTGTACACTTTCCAGTGGGCTCCAGCCCACTGTTCTCCACTCCAAACCTCACATACCTCTTCTGGGCCTCAGCAGCTACTGAAATAGGGAAGGCATGGTTAGCATGATGGATCTCAGCTGTGCCAGGCAGCCTTCCACATCACTGTCCCCTGAACCCACTGCTCTGCCCCTCCCCTGTAGCTGAGCCACAAAACACACCCTGCCACAGCAACATGCTCATTATTTTGCACAGAAATGACAAATTACTGTATGGATAACACTAATGACAATTTTTAAAAAAATATTTAATTGACTTTACTCTGTGTCAAAACATTTCAAATGAAATTAAGAATGGTGATGTTTATGCCCATTTTGAACTTTAAATATAGTTTAAAATTTGAACTTGACTTAGAATATACAGGTTTTGACTTTGAACTTTGCCTTCAGCCACAGTGAAAACTAAAAATGACCTTACTGCACTTCAGATTTTACAAATGGATTCACAGCCATACTTAACTAATTTCTTGACTGATCCTGTATTTAATTGTGTGTGCCGCCCAGGTGGGAACTATCGTGGTGTATTTGCCCTGGGTCTGGTCCAGGGTGAGTGGAAGATGTATGTAAAGGGCCCACTCGACAGGGAAGAATGCAACCTATACAACATCAACGTCACAGCTAGTGATGGATTGTTTGTTTCCCAAGCAACAGTAGAAGTGACAGTGGTAGACACCAATGACAACAGCCCAATCTGTGACAAGGTGAGAAATAAAGTTGTGTATTGTTTTGTTTTGTTTTTCTACGTAACTGATTTGGCATAACTAGTTGTGTGTGTGTGCGTGCGTG